ACAGGGCGATCGTGGATACTGTTATATACCGTACGATTATATGACAGATGCAGACCTTTGTTTTGATGCGTGGACAATTCGTAAAGTTCCCAACGACGATTTCGGTCAATCGCATTGGGATTACAATGACGAGGTTGATTATCAAAATAATAATAACGACGACGGTGACGACGACTATAGTAATGGAGATAACCGTACAATTGAACAATTCGATGAAGATGATTTCGGAATAAACTTTTTCGATAGCGCTGCACGTGGTTTTGATGGCGATTCGCGGAATAGAGATGACCCTTTTAATTACAGTGACGGCGGAGGATATAATCAGCAGTGGGGCGGAGACGATCGTTCTAATTACAATGATGGTGGAAGATATAATCAACAATGGAATGGAAGTGATCAGTTTACTTATAATAATCGAGGAGACTATGGTCAGCAATGGAATAGAGATGATCAATCTGAACATCATCATAAACACGGTCACCATCATCACCATCACAGACACTAAACGAAACTCTGTGTACATATGTTTATGATGTCGTATGATGTAGTTGTGAGCGTGAGAATAAATTAACCATAATCGTTGTCGTAAGCTTTGAAAACTCAGATAAGGTTGCTCAACACATAGATTTCAACTTCGAGCTAAATCGAAAGGAATGAGTAGTTAACAGTATTATTGTACTATTTATTAGCTCTAGCTATGGAACTCAGTCATTTCTTGACGTCAATACGATCGGCCACAACTCGATTTACCGGGCGTAAAAGAATTCAAACACGTTTTATTCTGTTTGGCACTTTGTTTCTGTAGAAATACTCGCCCGACGAAAGAATATTTTGCATTGAAGCGTGTAGTGCCAATAAGGATTTAAAACCTGATGTGGTACTCTCATGTGATAATCTCAAGACATTTCGCGACAGTTCCTTATGCAAAACCCGCAGCGTATACAATCGCCCTGTCTCGAACTCCATTTTGATTTCGATGGCTTGTATTTAAGTAATCAGTTTGATTTATTAATGAGTAGAAGATTTATTTTTGATCAGCATATTCTTTTGTGTTGAAAATCTGTCTTGCATACTTCTTATCTTAGTAATTTAAGCAGGTTTTTGCTAATCAGTAGTACGCCGCAAACATCTCAGCTACTTCAGAGAAATAACACATAGAGCTTAGGGATTATTGAACCTACATATTAAACCAGGGTGAGTCCCAGTAGGGCTCCCGAGATAGTATGGCAGACATAAAACTATGAGAAAACTTGGACTACACTCCCAGCTAAATAATTTTGCAAAAATGTATCAAACCCATAAATCTTTGAGACATCTGCTCATGCATTTACTTTTGTTCTAATCTTTCTCTCCAACAAAACTAGTTTCTTTCTCTTCTCACTCAGCTCACAACCACCATACAACATGTTTTCTAATCAAGTTTCTGCGATCTCTCATGTAATTTATTGCTCAACATGCTTCAACCTATCTACCATTATATTTTCTACTCTTTCAGTCACAATCCGATCAGCCTAGTCCACTACAAACAACTAATAGCCAATCAGAAACACGGTAAAGTATCAGATGAGTTGCGAAACGGGAGCAATGTCTTTCTCTTTTCCTTGTATTTAGTTGTGAATACTGTCGACGAAAATGGAAGAAGATTCTTTTGACGAGCCTAACAACAGTACTAATGATGACCATATGTGTTATTGTTCCAATAATTATGGCAAAGAAACATTCAGATCTATTGGTTACTGTAGCAAGACGGACAACAACAGCAAGTGTTACGACAACAACTGCTACGACGACAACAACAACAACTGCTACGACAACAACAGCAACAACTGCTACAACCACGTTCACGAAAGGTCTGAACATCCGTTCATTCTTTGCACACGTATTGTATAGTTATACTCTAGTACGACAAAGGATCAGATTTCTCTCCGCAGAGTTCGGTTGAGAAGAATAATTCTTTGAATGAGCATCATTTGACGGTGTAAAATGTGTTTAGGATGGACAACGGCAGCAAAACTAAACATCAATCGGAATCGGCATACTGCTACTGTATTGCAGAATGGAAAGGTATTGATCACTGGTGGATACGGTTACAAAGGAGCTCTTCACGAATGTGAACTATATGACCCATCAACAGATCGATGGACACTCGTCGCAAACATGTCTGTCGCAAGGCAATATCACACCGCATCTTTGTTGGCTAATGGTTTGGTGCTAATTAATGGTGGTGTAAGTTCTGATGGAGCTCTTTCAAGTGCTGAACTGTATGATGTATCAGCGAATACGTGGATAAACACACGAAGTATGATCCATCACCGATCGGAACACACAGCCACTGTACTGCAGAGTGGAAAAGTGCTCGTTGCAGGTGGGTTTAACCACAAAGGAGAGTATCTGGATACTGCTGAACTATACGATCCTGAGACAGGTGTTTGGACAGCTACTCAAAACATGATCTGCAGTCGTGTGGATCATCAAGCATCGTTGTTAACAAATGGAACAGTACTAATCACTGGTGGACTCGGTCTCTGCTCTATAGGTATGTCCCAAAAGACGAATGAGCTGTATGATTCGGTAGCACATGCGTGGATCAGAACAAATGACATGAACTTTGATCGCATTGATCATACAGCTACTGTCCTCCAAGATGGAGGAGTGCTGGTAACTGGTGGACGTGATCTAGTTGGATGGATGTGGAACTCTACTGAATTGTTCAACCCATTCACGAATCAATGGACCACAACACGTATTATGAACGCCCCACGCTTTGCTCATTCAGCGACTTTGCTACCCAATGGAAAAGTCTTCGTCGTTGGCGGACAGCCCGATCGCTCTTTAAACAGTGCTGAACTGCACGATCCATCTACCGGCGCTTGGGCAGTCACTGATAACATGAAACAGCGTCGCCCTTACCATACAGCATCTTTACTGACTAGTGGACAAGTCTTGGTTGTTGGCGGATTTATGGTTTCTCTTGCTGAGATCACAGAAGTATACTATAGTGAGATGTAACTAGAAGAAGTGTTCTCGTGAATAATTCATATGAACGAAATGAGAAGTTTTATTTCTAAATAAAAACTTGCAAAATATGATGAAAGTGGTTCATTCTTTAGATAATCATAGGAAAATGCAATTCTTCAATCAGAAACTTGGAATTCAGAAATTTCAATCTCCTTCACTTCTGCTTTCTCTCGTACTCGTACTCTTACTTTGTACTGTAAGTATTGACCTCGAATACAGCATTGAAACTCCAGAAATGACCTCTGTTAATCCGATAGTGTGACAAATGAAGTATAAATGACCATGGGTAGATACTCCAAGACACAAAATCAATGAGAAGCTCAACTTTGTCGAAGAAATCGCAGATGTCTGTATATAAACTTACGTGAAAGCATTTCATCCGAATTGAGCAGTTATCCTGTTCAAAAATTTCCCTCTGGGAACTCGATTGATCATTCACCATGATAGAACGTTCTGTATCAACAAAGATGCAATTCTGGGATAGACGATATTCTCATTTTGATCTTATTGATTATTGTTTTTCATAGCTTTCGAAAATATCAAATAAAAATTGAATTTTCTTATGTTGTATATCAAAACATTAATTATCATTTATACGGAAGACTAAATTGAGATTTTCTTCGCAAATCTGAAAATTATCATCACAATGTCTCAAACAACATTTTGAGTTCCTAATAAATGAAATTGTATTTTAATGTTTTCATTATCATCGATATTTTTTGTTCACTTACTCATTTGAAATATTCACAACAAAGTCTCCAAATGAGAAATTCTCAATTAAAAAAACAATCAGAAATCTCCTTTGTTGAACACATTGATCGAATAAAAACACACGTCATTCACTTTATCTGTTTCTTTCAAAATATTCACTTTGACAACTTCTTAATCTTAGTTCATTATGTTTGTACAAAGTAATAAATAATAATTGATAAGTCCTTCTCCTTCGTTCTCTTCCTAATAACTCAATTCCATTCATTTCGAATGATTAATTCCTCTTCTATACCAAATCATCCAGTATCTCAATTACAAATATTATTCACGTTTAACCAATCATTTAGAAATATTTCTCTTTTATACGTAGATTTAATCGTCAAAATGTTTTATTTCATAATAAATCGAAATGAAATTCTTTAGAAATGAAATATTTTTGTCTTTTCATGAGAAAATAACAATGAATGTGTGTCAAAATACAATTAGTCTTTGAATATTCCATCGAAATGAATTCCAAAGTAATGTTTCTGATCTTTTCATGCGATGAAGAAAACAAAAATATGAATTTTGAGAGAACAGAATTATTTTAGAATTCAACAATTCAAATTTTATGAAATAAGAAGAATTTATCATTTCTTCGATTAAAAACTTTCAAATGTCAATTTCATTTAAATGGTTTTTCCCTCGACTGAAAGGAGGGTCATATGAAAAAAAAGTTTGTTTGTCTGTTTGTTTGTGTCAGGGTCAAAGGTCAAAAGTCAAAAAAACATTTTTTTGAAAATGCTCAAAACTTCATAAAACATCGTTTGGAAGGTGTGTTGAGGTTAGATCTTGGTTGAGGGGAGGGGGGTGAGGGTCGGGGTCAAGGGTCAAAGGTCAAAAAAACATTTTCGTGAANATCATTTGTAGCGAACTTCTGCTTCCTGTGAAGAGTGATTTTCAGTCAGGAATATCGAATAATTAAAAGGAACACAAGTAGTCTTTTGGTTCTTTTGAAGACTGTGAGGCGAATGAAGATCAGTTTCCGGGGACCCCTTCAAAGGTTATACTTCTATCTTTTTTTTGCATAAAATGCATATAAGACTATTGTATTTTCAGTCAGTGGTTCAGTCAAGGGTATAGCGAGTCTGCCTCGACGAGCGTTACTAGTTTCTTACAAAATAAATCCAAAAAGCAATGTAAATATTATTGAAATTATTTCCAAATTTAGATTTTCAACATTAAAAACATTTGAAAATGAAATCTTTAAAATCACAAAACTTTCAAATTTCATTTATTCGAGATTTGTAAAAGAATATGAAAATCTCTCATAGATTTATCTTCTTTTTTTCGAATATCAAATAACAAAATTGATTAATTTCATTGAATAATCATAATTTATGTGAAGATTTTAATGAATCGATTAAAAATTGAGAAAAACTTCGATATTCTTCAAATGAAAGAAATATTTTATTTTTCATAAAAACTCTTCGGAAATGAATTGACATAAAATGTTGATAAAAATGAAAAAGATTTGAAAATATTGTGAATTCAAATAGAAATACAAAAACTGATCTTGCATAGAATTAAAAATCTCAATGAAAATGATTTACAAAAGAATTGATTTATTTCACTTTTTCAGATTTGAATTTTTATCAAAAGTTCTTTTCTTCTTATTCAATTTCATGAGTAAAGACAAATTCCAGAAAGATTAAATTTTATTATTTCAACAACATTTTTTTGTTTTTATTAAAAAAAAAAAATTCTTTCAAGAATTATTTTTCTAATCACTTTGACAATTTTATTTAAAATCATTTTTACATAATTCTTTCGATTGTTTCTTTCTTCTCTCATAATACTCAAAAACATCAAAAGAAATATTCACTGCCATCATGAAAAATCGACATTTCTTCTTTTATTATTTAACTCTATCGAAATACAATAGATTTTCCTTCTCTCTCTTTTGATCCATCGTTATAAATCAATGTCGATAAAGAAATTGAAACTTTTATCATCTGAATCTAGTTTATCAATGAAACGATTGAAAATGAATTTGTATTGATTATCTTAATCGAATGAAAATCCATATTATTCGACTCATTTTCATCATTTTCACATCTTTTGTTATTTAATATTCAAGAAAATCATCACCAGAAGTTCATCTTATCTTGCCATCCTTCTCGAAACTTTACGAAAAGTTATTTCTCACTCGACTGCGAATTTGGATCGATGAAAAAGACATATTACCTGACGAACAAACGGGTCTTAGACCGAAACACGATATGTCCACAAGAATCATCGCTCTCCTGGACCAACTTGGTCGCTGCCTCTCGCTTAACACGGCTGCTGCCGCGCTCTTCATCGATTACAAAGCCGCGTTTGATCAGCTTTGGATAGGCGGTCTATGGCTGAAATTACATAGACTGAACTGTCCGACTGAACTACACGCATGGCTCAGAAGCTACCTCTACGAACGGAACGCTTTCATTGAAATAAAGGGACATCAATCAAGGACGTTCCTACAGCACAAAGGCGTACCGCAAGGCTCATGCATTGGCCCGGTTCTCTTTATTCTCTTCCACCACGATCTAGTGAACGCAGTAGATAGCGTACACTCCAAGCATCTTTACGCGGACGACATGGCCGTGATTTTCTCGCCCTCCCCGTATTGGTCCTCGAAAGTCACAAATATCCGGCTGGCCAAGCAGGTGGAAAGTACGATCAACAGCCTGCACAGGTACTCCATCGACTGGAAACAACCCATGAACCTAAAGAAAACGTGCTGGACGCTTTTCCACCGCCAAATATCTCCAAAAATCCCAACGGTCTATTGTGGCAATCACAAAATCGAACAAATACCCAAGTTCAAGTACCTAGGTGTTACCCTCGACGCAAGACTGGCTTTCACACAACATATTGAACTCACGAAAGCAAAGATCAACAGAAATATATCGATCTTCAGGCGTCTATCCAGAAATCGTATGCTCACGGAACCGATCGCCTTCAAGCTGTTTCATGCCTTCGTCCGACCGCACTACCAATCGCTACTGAACATCTACCCAATCTTATCCCGCACAAAACAGGAGCAGCTCGAAGCTTTCAACCGAAGGATGTTCCGCATCACTCTGGGTTGGCACGACGCAACAATCTATGAAGTGACGAACGTGAAGCAATATAAATCCATCGGCTCGCTCACCAAGAGCCACTTCAACAACCAACTGGACACGATTCTTCGCACAAACCCAGACATCGTAGTCGAACATCTACAACACCAAATGCACCTGCTCTACTTGCGCGATTATTACCAGAATCCGGCTCTACGCGCCAAGAAACAATTGATTGTCCCAAATGGAAGAACCTCAAACAGAATCAAGAACCTGTTAGTATCGAATGCGAAAAGTCTCCTCGACCTGGTCTTCAATTTCAATTAAGCACAAATCACAAATCGACATCTGTCGTCTCTCCAAATGGTTTTTTTTTTTCGGAGCAAAAGGGACAAATAGTCCTTGCTCATCTCTGTCTCTCTCTCTTTCTCTACTCTTCTTCGCGCAAGGTTGTTTAATGTAAACTTCAACTCATTTCCTTTCAACAATAAATAAGTAATGATTAGCAATACACGAAAAAAAAATCGTATTTGATTTCATTTGAACTGTAAAATCTAAACAGTCGATATAAACCCATATGGAATTTCGTTATTTCGATATACAAAATGGTTCATCTCTTCATGCTCATTGCTATGATCATCATTGTTTTGGTCCAAGTCTTATTTCAAATGTTAATCCAAAAGATTGTTATATATGGGATTAATATCGTCTTCAATATAAAAAGGAAGGTACACAAGTTATTCTTTGGCAATGTGAAACTGTTCCTCGTGGTTGTTTCTTTCGAGGATAAAAATTCCTTTTTTTTCTCGAATTTGTCAAGTTTATAAAGGTTCAATATGTCCTCTGAAACAAATTGTCCTTTTAATAAATTGAATCCATTCTCGGAATTGTTTGTGAATATTTGGTAATGAACCAACGATGACAAAAGGCAAAAATTGATTGACAAAATACGCCATATAGTAAAAATAATAATACTGAATATCACTGAGAAATGTTGGATTCCATAGAGCTTCGATGACGCCAACGATGATCTCTGGTAACATAAATGTAAAATAAAGAATTGAAATAAACGCCAATTGAACAATCATGCGTTTCTGTCGACGCCAATCGATGATTCGTCTT